CAGCCTTCGTCTCTGGTGCTGTACCTCGGGCCATCTGCAGCTGCAAATAACAACATTTGCCTGCAACATCAACTGTCAACTGTATCACTACATTCACACCGGGAATAGTTGTTATCCGCAGGGAACTTGCTTCAACGTGAATACAAAATGAATGATTATCACTACTCCCTAACCCCCCCAGGGGGAGGTCAAAATGTAACTTACAATTTTTGGTGTCAAAATGCAGGTTTTGGAACACGTTGATCTTTGAACATAAAACATCTCCATCTGACAAGACAGGGGTCATAATTGTAAGTTACATGTTTGACCCTCATGTGTGTTTGTTGAGCCTGTACGCGCTCAAACATTGTAAGTTATATACATGTTCGAGGGTCAGGTGGATGCATGCCCCCTGACCCTGCTCTGTGGGTACCTGCCCATCAAATCGTACAATTTTGAGCCCCCCCGCCCCCTGCTTTCAAAGTCTCAAGACGTATGCCTTTGAGGGGGGGATTATATAAGAAAAGCAAGATCCTCGTATAGGCTACCTCAACCTTAGATCTAACAATGTTCCTACCCCCCTTTTGGGCTATATAATGCTATCATCGCAAAATCAAAATTGTAAGTTACAAATTTGACCCCCCCGCAAGGTCAGGCACCGCAAGGGGGTAGTGATGAATGGTTGCTATTTTCTTCTACCTTCTTTCCTTCGGCCAATTTCAACACCGGCTTAGGCGACTTAAATTGACCTAACTACGGTTCAAACTGTCCCCCCAGATGTGCACTTCCTCAGCACATCTCAGCAGGCAAGGCACTTTGCTCTTCGCCTTCCTTTTTGCGCCGTCTTCGGAGCTTCTCCTGCTCCTGTTGCCCCTCATCATTGTAATCCTTTTTCTTGCGTCTCCTCCGCGACCTTCCCTCCTATCACGGCAGGTGTTTGATTGGAGGTTGCAACGCGCTTACACTCACTGTATACATATTGACAAATTGACCAACAACGCGGCCTGAACCACATTGGGGCTATATAGCGCACCGACACACCAGTGAAACTTATAACTCAGTATACAGCTTGGTCTCAAAAAACCCTCCGCTGAGGCAGAGGCTAATAACAGGCTGAGCCGAATGAACAGGGAAACAGCATGGGCCTATTGGAACTACGCCAACTAACACAACACTGCGCGATCGTAGCAATGATGTTGACAGCCCTGTGCCCAGGAAAACTAGGATAAGGATGACCAAAGGATAGAGCGTTGCAGTGGTGCAAGCTGGCATGGGCAAAGCAGTCACAGCTCAAAATTATTGAATAGGGTTGGAAAGCCAGCCTGTGTAAAGAAGGGCCTAGTCATGTCTAGTCTGTGCATTCTGCTCGGGGACCCGAGTACCCTTGGTGATGTACCACTTTGGCCTTTGACAGAAACTGACGAGATCACACGTTGGGCGAATGTGAGCTGAGTCTGCCAAATGACAACAATAACTGTTAACCCACAAGAGTGCAAACAGGTAGGTGTACATTGTGTGTCTGTCTCTGTGTGTGTGTCTGTGCCTCTAACTCTGTGTGGTCATCTGCTGCTTCGATCTCTTTCTGCCTGGTCCTTAGAGATGATTCGTTTCAGCTGCCGCGAGCGCTGCCCACAGGTAACAAACAATGCATGAGAGTAGTCGTTATGTTCATCAGGCTCAAGGGAATATCACAAACCCAACCTTGCAACATGTAGAACACATTCCTTGATGCTCTTCCAAAACACTCCTCCGGCGCCATTGCCTGCAGCTCCAAAATGGGTGCGTCAGGCTCCTCTCATGCGCAAATACCAGCGGCAGGGGTAGAGGCTGAAATTAAAGGACCGGATAATCCCACATATGAATCTTTACGAATCGTAAGTTTCTAAAGCACAAAGCCGTCAGAGTCTCAATAGCTTCTACAGCATGGCCTTGTCAGGAATTATGTCAGAATTCCACAACAGAGGGGTGGGAGAGAGGTGTGGGAGAGTAATGTGCACGGCGGATGTACGAGGTATTGCGCAGACATGTGTGTACAGCCACAACTAGCCGAAGTAAAACCCCATCGCTCTGCCGACGTCAAACCCTATAGCCAATCTACACATTGCCACAAATTCTGCACATGGAGGTTCACAAAGTGCTGTGCCTGCCACGAAATCTGCTCATGGAGGTTCACAAAGTGCTGCGCCTGCCACGAAATCTGCACGTCAAGAAACACGTGAAAACTCTAAGCACAATGGAGGAACGGACCGGCGACGACCGCCGACCACGCAACAGCCAGAGCCTCTAACGGAGCATGGAGGTTCACAGAGTGCTATACCTGCCACGAATTCTGGTGACGTCTCGGTGTGTCACAAAGTGCTGCGCCTGCCACGAAATCTGCATCATGGGGGTTGTTCAAAAGTCCTTTCATTTTTCCAGGCCTTTCGCGAAGCTTTCGCAAGCTTTCGCACGTGGGGTTTTACCACTGTCGGCGACAATGGTTTTTCGTTGGGGCTAGAGGCTTTCCAGGATTCATGCAGTTGCCCTGGCACGTCTTGCGTCCTCTGATCACTGACACATTGGTTTCTGAGGAACAGGAAGCCAGCCAACCAAGCCATTTTCATTTTGGCGTGTTTTTGGTTGGGCGCAACCCACCATGAACAAGAGACGGCTTAGGCCATTGGAGTTCAGAGTGCCCAAACACCATCAAAAAAGCATCAACAAAGCACCTCTTGCACAAGGCATTTTCTTCTATCTAAAGCCTTGTTTGGAAACCACAAAAATTGCACCTTCTAATTGAAATATTCGAAACATTTCTTCTATCTCTGCGTCCCGGATTATACAGCCGTAGAACCAACCACCTCACCTCACACACCTGCACTTGCGGGCATGCTATGAGGGCATCTGCAGCTGGAGTGTCCAGCGCGTGCTTCCAGCAAGAAGAGTGGAGTGGGGTGGGGTTTGGCCCTGTCGTCCTTCGCGTCCGCAATGCGAACCTTTCGCCATACTTACGCAGTTTCCCACGACAAAGAATTTTCCAAGGATCGGGAAAAAGCAATCGGAAATGTCTCAGACTCGATCAGACTTCCAATTTACTTTTTCCCAGCCCGGGAAAAAGCAAAAGGCTCAGACTTCCAATTTGCTTTTTCCCGGGCCGGCAAAAAGCACTAGACGACGAGTGGCCCGAAAGCATTTTTCATCACGTAGGAAGTCAGAGTGTGAGTTATCTGTTAAGTGTGAAGTGTTAAGTCGAGTGAGTTGAGGTAGTGTGTGGGTCTCTGTGTGTGTATCTATGTCCGTGTGTATATGAGTCTCTGTCTGTGTGTGTGTCCGAGTAAGTTGAGGCAGTGCGTGGGTCTCTGTGTGTGATGTGTGTGTGTGTATGAGTCCCTGTCTGTGTGTGTATGTCCATGTCTGCTGCTGGTGAAGGTCTTCACTGTACATATAGTGAACGAATTAGCGCGCAGGCCTCCCAAAACCCCCACCGGCGGCCAAGCGGTGACAGCCCAGCTCATCGTCGTGAGCATTTGGGCTGCTGGCAAGGGGAGAAGCAGCGCGCACGCCTCAGGAAATCTCACTGAAACAAGCAAGCTGGAATGAAGACAGAAAATTTCCGAGGCAGGTGCGCAACAAGTTTGTCGAAGCAGTGACCTGTCAGAGGAGATGCGTCCATCGATATACGATCAGAGGTAACGTTTCCCAGCTCCCCAGATACTGCGCGTACTGAAGTTGTACTACCACGTCGCCAGCTCTCATCTTCTAGCTCCCCAGATACTCCGCCTACTAAAGTTGTACTAGAAAGTAGTCGCCAGTTCTCAGCTTCCAGCTCCCCAGCTACTCCGCGTACTAAAGTTGTACTACAAAGTCGCCAGTTCTCAGCTTCCAGCTCCACAGATTGCTCCGCGCACTATAAAGTTGTACTACCAAGTCGTCAGTTCTCATCTTCCAGCTCCCCAGATACTCCGCGTACAAAGTTGTTCTACAAAGTCGCCAGTTCTCATCTTCCAGCTCCCAGCTAGTCCGCGTACTAAAGTTGTACTACAAAGTCACCAGTTCTCATCTTCCAGCTCGCCAGATACTCCGCATACTAAAGTTGTACTACAAAGTCGCCAGTTCTCAGCTTCCAGCTCCCCAGATACTCCGCGCACTAAAGTTATACTACAAAGTCGCCAGTTCTCAGCTTCCAGCTCCCCAGATACTCCGCGTACTGAAGTTGTACTACAAAGTCGCCAGTTCTCAGCTTCCAGCTCCCCAGATACTCCGCGTACTAAAGTTATACTACAAAGTACAAAGATTGCTCCGCGTACTAAAGTTCTACTACCAAGTCGCCAGTTCTCATCTTCCAACTCCCCAGATACTCCGCGTACTCAAGTTGTACTACCAAGTCGCCAGTTCTCATCTTCCAGCTCGCCGGATACTCCGCGTACTAAAGTTGTACTACCAAGTCATTGTACTACCAAGTCGCCAAGTTCTCAGCTTCCAGCTCTCCAGCTACTCCGCGTACTACAGTTGTACTACCAAGTCGCCAGTTCTCATCTTCCAACTCGCCAGATACTCCGCGTACTAAAGTTGTACTACAAAGTCGCCAGTTCTCATCTTCCCACTCCCCAGCTACTCCGCGTACTCACGTTGTACTACCAAGTCGCCAGTTCTCATCTTCCAGCTCCCCAGCTACTCCCCGTACTAAAGTTGTACTAGAAACTCGCCAGTTCTCAGCTTCCAGCTCCCCAGCTACTCCGCGTACTAAAGTTGCACTACACAGTCACCAGTTCTCATCTTCCAAATCGCCAGATACTCCGCGTACTAAAGTTGCGCTACAAAGTCGCCTGCACTTCGCGCCCGACACGCCCGATCTCCGCAGAGGGTTGCGCGCGTACAGACTCACTCGCACTCTCGCCTGCATTTCGCGCGCTCGACACGCACGATCTCCGCAGAGGGTTGCGCGGGCAGCCGGCAAATCGCACTCTCGCCTGTATTTCGCGCACTCGACACGCACGATCTCCGCAGAGGGTTGCGCGGGCACCGGACAAATCGCACTCTCGCCTGCATTTCGCGCACTCGACACGCACGATCTCCGCAGAGGGTTGCGCGGGCAGCCGCCACATCGCACTCTCGCCTGCATTTCGCGCACTCGACACGCACGATCTCCGCAGAGGGTTGCATTTTCGGTTGACGCTGTTCGTCCCACCCTCCGCCTTTAAGAGAGAATTTATAAAGTGGGGAAATGTTTTTCATTAGGACATCTCCCGTGCTAGTTTTCCATGCTCACACTTGCATACTCATTGCATGCTTGCATACTCATTGCACGCTTGCCTAAGATCGCCTCATGTCTGTCGCGTTTCATTAGAAACAGTCTTACGATGCACGTTGACAAATGGAACTCTCGCTGCGAACCGCTGTTCCGATGATGGACTCATCCACCACTATCTTCGAGAGTATATGTCCACTATCAATGAGTACTATGCCAGCAAACAACTCAAGCATTTGCGAATCAACGCATCTATCCACAGTTCCACACCAGCCGACTTTGAGGCCAAGTGGATCGATATGCACATGCGACACAAGGAACGTCAGAATCATGTTCAAATGGACAATTACTTCATGATCTTGCATTAGATGACCGAGATGACTTAGCATCAAGAGGAGGAGCTATATCCGACCGGCACCGAAGATGCCGTACACCATCAAGTCCTGCGAACGCTTTATAAGCACTTACCTCACGAAGCCCTTATCATTGGCGGGAATGATCAAAGCTGGCATTACCCTTTTCAAGTGACCGTGAAACATGTCCACTGCGGGAAGCTCCGATTGTTGATGCTTAAGATCCAACAAATTTGCAATATTCGAATACTTGAAGAACTTGATTCCTATGACTTCGATGCACTCCGTTTCACTTTCGCTAGGATCTGTAGATATCTGTCCTGTACATAGATGATCGAAATTATGAACTCTTGAAGAAGAGAAGATTTCCATATAGAAAGAACTCCTTGAGTCTGATATCGACCAAGGCAATTTCATGCACAGAGGTTGAGTCCGTTTTGTGTTTCGTTTTTACCTGAACTAACCTCTGTATGGTCTCACGCTATCTGATGTATATATGTATATACATGACTGATACATTTGGATCAAGACTGAGAAACCGCTTGCTTTCACAGCGCGGCTGCATTCGACTCGTGTCCGAGCATCGTCCGATTGGACCTCTCTCGAGACCGTGTTCTTTCCAGCGGAAATCCACTGCATTGCACTTCGTGTCACCCCCCCGATCATACAGAATCGCCTTTAACGAGCCCAAAGTCATGGCGTGTGGGAGGATCCTGCCCTGTAGCTAAAGCTAATTGAACTCGACTTTGGCCTTTGACAGAAACTGACGAGATCACACATTGGGCGAATGTGAGCTGAGTCTGCCAAACGACAACAATAACTGTTAACCCACAAGAGTGCAAACAGGTAGGTGTACATTGTGTGTCTGTCTCTGTGTGTGTGTCTGTGCCTCTAACTCTGTGTGGCCATCTGCTGCTTCAATCTCTCTCTGCCTGGTCCTTAGAGATGATTCGTTTCAGCTGCCGCGAGCACTCCCCACAGGTAACAAACAATGCATGAGAGTAGTCGTTATGTTCATCAGGCTCAAGGGAATATCACAAGCCCAACCTTGCAACATGTAGAACACATTCCTTGATGCTCTGCCAAAACACTCCTCCCGCGCCATGGCCCGGAGCTCCATGACTTGCGCTTCAGGCTCCTCTCATACACAAATACCAGCGGCATGTAGGGGCTGAAAAACCATTGAAGCATAAACGTATACGCAAGTTGCATGATTCTGCAAAAGGCAATGCACTTGCTAACTGTGGTTCTGGCTTGGCTTCTCCTCGTCAAGAAGGTTCTCCCAAACTCCCACCTCGAAGGACCTCAAACTAAGCACCGAAATTGCATGCATATATAATCACCACTGTCGATATACAGGTTATCGGAAAAACTCAGGCTATGGCATGAAGTCTTCAATTTTCATCAATGCTGATTCTGCAGCTTCCTGTGGCTTCTCCCTTTCGCGAAGGCCATCCCAAACTTGAGCCTCGGAGGACCTCAAAAAGGAGCACAGCCATCAGTTGACAAGAAAAGGAGGAATCCAAAGCGACCCGAATTGCAATACTTCAGGTCGTCGCAAAAAGTCTTCAGTTTCCATAAGTGATGTTTCTTCAGCTTCCAAAGTAGCATTCCACTCTGCGACCTAACAAACGTGATTCCATGTGCTAGGCTGTTCAGAGAGAGAGAGAGACGCACACATCCAAGAAGTTCGTGACCGCGCCACAAAGCAAAAAAGACATGAATGCTGGTGCCTCGCCTCTCGCTGCTCACGCTCAGCGGCCTCCATGCGTTCTCGCTCAAACTTCTCGGTCGCTATGAGAACTTCTTGCATGAAAGCCTGAGTTCCATACCGGAGTCATGACACATACAGTAGTAGGGGTCATGCGAGGCAGTTTGGTGACCACGAGTGAGAGGGTGCCGAGCCTCATGCTTGAGCATGGGGTCTTCCCTCAACATCCACTCACGCTCCTTGGCTTCATGCATTGCCCAGAAGGTGTCGGCCCTGCGTTGCCTCCATTCCTCCCAGCGCATCCTTGGAGTATATTGTGGGCCAACTCCGCTCAATCCCAGCATGCTGAGAATGGCAATTCAATATAATTCAAGCTACGGTGACTACGGTGTACAAATATGGTAGATGGACCCATCAATAAAAATATTACTTCAACTACTTCAAGCTTCCGTCGCAACTCTTCCGTTTCCATCTCTTGGCAAAGCCAAGCCCTCTTCTCTCGTATAGTACCTCCAGCCATCTGCGACTGCCCCCACAACTAGGTTCTGTCTGACCAACATTGACCTCCTACTGCGCTCCAGTGCTTCATTTACATATGCTTGCTCTGTTTGCAATTTCTTCACCTTGGATTCCCTCTCTGCATGTCACAGGCTGGAATCTGACATGTATACCAATGTTGCAGCACCTATTGCTAGTGTTACTCTGTTTGCTCTACAACTGGGTTGAAGGGTGTTCATGGCCTTCAAAGTCCAGTCAAGCATGTCTAGCCAGTTCCGGAAGGGCACGTTGGAAGGCATCTCTTTTCTCCCGCGCCTCTTCAACAACAGGACCGCTTGCAGCACCTCAGCTCACGGTAGCAGCCAAAAGCAGGAGCTAAAACATGTGTCACAGGAACCCCAAAACTATGGCGCCTCTGGGTTGCTCTCAATAGGCAGAAACATGCTAGAAAAGGACTGACTGCGTGCCAGGCCCTGAAGAAGTGAGTTCGGTGAGCTTTCAGCATATCACCCGGCACCTAAATGTCCCACAATCCAGATCGCCCAGCAGCTTAAACCCTTGTCCGAGTCGGTACATTCTGGCTCGATCAGTGGAAACCTGAGTTGTGCAAGGGGCTACCCGACAACACGTGACAGTGCATTAGATACTGATACAATACATGTTTCACCTTCGTTTGAGGGCGGTCACCAACACTATTTTGAGCCACCTCTGCCATTGAAAACCACCCGTTGACCGGCAAAAAAGTAGTCCAAATTCTTGCAGCTGTGTTTGCAGTAGTTAATGGTTATGGGTGTTGCTGTGGAAATGTATTCCAGCATATTCCAGCTACATACTTCACCCCCCACATCTCAAGGCATTGACAGCATGAAACAAATTTTGTCTGGAACATTGTGCCCGCTTTGATCACAGGCTACGACGCGCGTGCTCATTGAACTTTGGGACCTTGACCACCCGCTTTGTGGAACTTGAGGTTATTTTGCCAAACCTGTGTGCACTTGTGGTTGGGTGTATCATGGTGCGTCCACCACCCATCGTGATGAGAGCGATTGCGAACAAGCAACAACTTCAGACCGACGACTTCTCGCATCACGTTCTGCGGTGAGGAGGCAAAAGGCAATGACAGCATTAAGTATCAATTTGGGCATTAAGGCATCAAACAGGTCATGAGAATTTGAGCCATCGAGGCCTTCTGGCCAAACATTGCCTACAGTTCTGACAGTGCTGGGCGTAACTAGTACTTGCAGCAGGGTGTGCCCATCGTCTGACTCAATGAATCATTGCGGCTCCCAATCCTTGAGTGGAACATCTGAAGCCTGAAGTGTAGTTCGATTCTATTGTCTATGGTCAAGGGATTATCGGGCTGCTGAGGTCAAATGGACCTTTAAGTCTTGCAGAAGGTGACAAAACATTTAGCCTATAGAAGTTATAGAAGCTTATAGTATAACTTTTCCTGCTGCAGACTGTCAAGAACTCCCCCGCACCATAGTCCGAAGCTCCATGACTTGTGTCTCGAACTCCTGGGAGCAAGTACCAATCACCAAAGCAAGACAAATTATGTATATTTAAATAGTTTTACATACATATATCACATTCCAAAAACGCCCTCCAAGCGCTGAATGCGCTGCCTCCTTTTCCTCGGCCTCTGCGCACTGTAAGCTCGAGCGCTCCAGGAAAGTAGAAGGAGTTCCTAGAACACCAGCAGCGTGGAAGGACAGTGTTCGACTGAGCTTCTTCCGCGCGTGAGGCGAGGCTGGATCTTGCAAAATCCGCGCAGGCCCATGTTGGCCAGTGGACTCGCGTTGCCTTTAAAAGGTTCTCGCCTGGCGAGGCGTCCGGCTCACGCTCAACTGGCTCTTTGCCTCGATTGTAGGCCGAGGCTCACAAAGGCACTGATGAGGACGCACTCGTGGACGCGCTGCTCGACAAACTCTTTCCGCCTTTGTGGTGATTGCTGGAGCCGACACCGCTTCCACCTTGTCGCCAACTGCCAGGTAGATAGATTGCAGATGTAGGGCGAAAGTCGGGAAATGCAAATTGACGCTGCCAAAACTGTTGTCAAAATGGAAGCTGCTTTGAGCGCCAATTGTTCCATTAACACAAGCCGCTGCAACTGAGGGTCCAACCGACAGCGTTCAAGGAGCCTGTCGCCACGTGACTCACTGTCGTACACAGCTGCTGAGCTAATGCCAACACTCTGCAAATCGAGCTCCGCAGGCTTGCGGCGATTGATGTTGTCTAGAAATCCAGAGGCAGCAGAGGCTTTTAGAAAGTGGTCAAACAGGCAGGAGAGTGTTAGCACCCGTCTTCTCGCCAGCGCCGGCAAGTCTGCAAAAAACGTGTCAGCAGCTACTTCTTGGATGTAGGATTCGAGGGCGCTCACTTGCTTCACCCTCATGCACCACATCAAGCGCTGGAGGTCGACCCCCTTCCAGTACTCAGCAACTGCGCGGTGTGATCTTGCTGATGCGCTGTCCCAAACAAAAGGGTGAAAAGAACGGAATAGCATCTTCTTCGAAAACTGGCGGGAGAGATACCATAGAGCATGCGGCGCCTACCCACAGGTCCAAAAACGCGTCCCAAAAATTCAATCACCATGTGCTCACGCACACTGGCGTGTTGTATCCGCCCTTTTCCTCTTCTTCTTGGCTTCGGGTCTCGCACCCTCAAAAAGGCTGGGCCTTCTGCAGGAGTCAGGAGTCATGAGGACCATAGAAAGCAAGCGAAAGGGTGCTCGCAAAAAGGGTCCAGCCCAAATAAAGGAAACCACTGCCATGGCTCGGAGCAGCGCGGAGGGTATAGGCACTCGACGCACCGCTGGCTCCAGCTCTTCCCACTTTTGTATCAGCTCCCAGCAGGGCGAAGAGTAAAACCGAGCTCCCGTAACTTGTTTCTTAATGAAGACAACCAAGTGTCTCAAAACATAAAGTGGCTTAAAGGTGTTTTCCAAATTCTTTGACAAAGAGGCATAGCACCTGCGGCTCTTCATTCAGGCTAACGACAGCTTGCTCAGAAAGTAAACCGCTGGCCCAATCTAGAAACCACTTCCAAATCTTGCTTTGCAGGGCTCGAGTCCGGGCCTCTACCAAGTGCACAGAATCCAGGTCAATGCCTCTTCCAGCTTTAGGCCCTGGGTTCAAGGCCTCTCCGATCTGGCGAGTCCCGCAAAAGCAGCAAGGGCCGAGGTGGAGGTTCTCGGCCAAAAAAACCAAGGCTCATGGGCATGAAGTATCCAACAGCATTTCAAACACCCTTAGGGTATTCCTGAACTACCATAGTCCAGGATCGCGGCACCACATGACGGTGATCTTTCGAGAGAAAAAACGAAGCCGAGAACTGGTCAGGAATCTCGTTCTTTTCCGCCAAGGAGCTCCGAAGCGGCAACAATTGGTCGGCCAATAGCCAACTGAAACTTCTCCAAGGTGGCAAAGCAAAAAGGTAGCTGCTCCCGGGATTTTCCACCAAAAAAAGGCAGAGACTCAATTCCATCAGCTCCAAAAGCCAATGGGCGCAGAGGTTTCCATCGGTGACCTTTTTCTTCGTGCTACTGCTAATTCCCCCCAGGCCCCGAGGATGCTCCAAGGTGCAAACGTGAGGCCAAACTGCTTGAGAAAATGACGAACAAACCGGAGCTGCACCCCAACCAAGGAAAACTCCCAGTGCAAAAAACTTCAAAATCAAAGCTTTCAGTTCGGGCGCATACAGGTCTTGTTCAGGACCATCGCCGAGCTCGAAAGTCATCAGCCAAGGCGCTCCATAGATCAGCAGTGCTTGGGCAACTCCCTTGGCACCTGAGAAAAGATCCAGGTAACCTGCCTCAAAGGGCAGCCAGCCGCAGCTGTCTTACTTCCATAAAGCATCCTGCTGACATGTCGCGACAAGCCGGCTTTCCATTCAGCCTTCAGAACCCCCTCAACTCTCCAAAAATTTATGCGCCTTTTGGAACTGCTCCGCTCTTTATGGAAGATTCTGTATCTCAAACAGCTGGCTAAAACTTGCCATATTGTTGGGTTCATCTTGTACTGTTCAACGCCCTCAGGCAGCTCCAGCTCAGGGTGTAGGCGATGCAGGCCTTTCCTGGAGGCAACAATCGGGTCCTGACCGGCTTTCGCAGAGTGGGCCAACGCTTCGCCCCAGGATGAGGCGTCGCTAGCGAAGATCCTCGTGCTCGGAGTCGCTCGCAAGTTGGCGCAAGCAACAGGCAGCCAATGCTCAGAAGCTCGCTCAGCAGGGCGCCTTCGATCTTGATCACGTCCTGCATGCTTCTCCCTTCCAACAACTGCCTGAAAGACAAGGTCCATAGTGCAGGGCAGTCGCCTGCGAATCAGAAGCTTTACACCTAAAAGCGCCACTGAGATAAGAGCGCCACCGATTCTTGTTTGGATCAAGTTTGTTCTTTTTGCGTTGCAAGCTTACGTGCAAGTGCCTTGTGCAACATCGGCGCAACCCAATGGGTGCGATGGGCAGAACAAAACCAAAAGAAAGCCCGGTTTAGGGGCAAAGCTCCGCTAAGTACCAACCCCTAGCAGTATAGGACGGGATTCGAGAGCTCATGTCTTTGAGCAGTGCGCCGAAGCATAAGCAAGCACCTTGCAAGAGTTGCACCAACCTTTATGCAAAGAAACCTAAACTCACTCATGTCGTATGCGCAGAACTCTTTTTGGCTTATCCAGTGATAAGCCATCCAACTTGAGCACAAATGGCGTGTATCCTGAATTTGTATAGGTAAGTTGCGTATACATATATAACTGAAAGGGAGAGGACGTATTATATATATTTATTTATTTAGATATAGAGGTGCGTTTATATATAAAGCCGTCCGAATGAGCTTCTTGTTTTCGTTTTGCGGGGTTGAAGTTTGTTTGGATTGGGATCACTTGCTCAGCCGTTTCCCGCTGACGCCTTTTCTCACCGGTCGGGCCCCGTCCCGTACGGAGAGGGTGCGCCGGGCAGCTCAGCATTGCGGTCTGCCAAGTGCATGCAAACGCTCACAAGATAACTTTTTAATTGCGCTTTCGTGCACCGTAGTGATGCTACAGGATTCCGAAAGGGTCGATCCCACCCACCAAATCCTCGTCCAGCTGGCAGCTGTAGGCCACTGGATTCATGATCCAGCTCTGGGTCAAAGCCTTCAATTATATGGATGGTCATGTGAAACTTTGGCGTGAATTTGAACCGGCAATACTGGAGGGCATATGCTTTTTCAGCGCACCCCACGGTTCAAAAAGGCCCTCCCACGTTGGCAAACATCCCGGGCTTCAGGCCGGCGCGTGAACAGATGAGAGTTTGTAGAGCCTTCTCATGAACTCATTTGTACTGCGCGAAGCTGCGTGAATTTCTTTCAAATACAGCAAATGCTCACGGCCAGGGTTCTCTTCAATCACACGGCTGTACTTGTACTCGAGGTAGGAGCAAGTGCAATGCGTGTCTGCACCCTTGAGCCAGCTCCTTACATTCACACACCGTGTTTTGATTCGATCATGGGTTGCGCCACCACACATTCTCAAAATAGAGCCAAAACTTGTTCCAATTCGTGCAAAGATGTTTGGAGTTCACCTGGGATCCCCTCTTGGAACGATTCGCGAGCCATCCACGTTGCATTTGAACACCGGTGCCAGTCTGGGAACTGGCGTTCCACCTAGGCACAGGTGACAAATTCCTTTGCCTTTGCCCTCTCCCGCCATGCAGCGTGCATGGGACCTATTCAACCAGCCCATTTTTCGCAGCATAGGCCAGTCACCCTTTGCATAGATGAAGCTTGGGTAGACCTTTTCCAAGTGGCCACCAATTTGAACTTCAATCCCGTTTTCGACAGCAGTTTTGCATTCCAAAGCGATGAACTTTAAAGACTGCAGGCTTTCGTCGGTACAGGGCGCTTTTCATGCAAGAGTAGAGAAATCTGTTTGATAAACTGTTGCCAAGCATGTTTGTGCCCAAAACATCATCAGCTTGAGGACGCTTCACGCTGTACGAAGTGCCTCTCCCTATCACAGGTTGGTACGCGACCACCATGAAGGGTTTGTCCTTGTGCGACTGATAAATGCAAAAGGGAACCGCCAGGCGCAAACGGTCTTTGTGGTACTCGTACACTGGGTGGTCCAAACATTCACCGCTGAACCTTTTCCAAAACAAGTGGCATCGTGACCTCCCGAATAGAACATCTAGCCTCTCCAAAGGGGACAGCATTCCCACATAGTCTTGCGTACGAAGAATCGGGCGCTGCCGGGTATGTCCACATACGAGATCTCACAATCATACAGCCCATGCATGTCGGCAACGTGACTTTCGTGGCCGTGATTCCGAAGTACTCGCATGTCGGAGAGAAGGTTGTGGCTTTTCAGGCGGCCAGACCCCGATTCTTCATGTTCATCTAGAAAGGCGCTGGCCAACATACAGGTGATACGATAAGGCACCTGACAGGTCAACAGACGAAGACACAAGTGGGGAAACATGTAGCCCAAAATCAACATGTTCTTTTGCGCGTTGAATGAGTAGGCCCCCGAACACAACAACATAAGCC